GGCGCCCCTGACCCGCTGCGCCACGTGTGTCCGCAGGGGCCGAGGAGGTGCTGCTGCTGGCGCGGCGGACCGACCTGCGCCGGATCTCGCTGGACACGCCGGACTTCACCGACATCGTGTTGCAGGTGGAGGACGTCCGGCACGCCATCGCCGTCGACTATGACCCGCTGGAGGGCCACGTCTACTGGACGGACGACGAGGTGCGCGCCATCCGCCGGGCGCGCCTGGATGGCTCGGGCGCCCAGACGCTGGTCAGCACCGAGATCAATGACCCTGACGGCATCGCGGTCGACTGGGTGGCCCGCAACCTCTACTGGACGGACACGGGCACCGACCGCATCGAGGTCACGCGGCTCAACGGCACCTCCCGCAAGATCCTGGTGTCCGAGGGCCTGGACGAGCCCCGCGCCATCGTGCTGCACCCCGTGATGGGGTAAGGGGGCCGGCGGGCGGGTGGGCAGGGCGGTCACCCACACAGCCGCTTCTGGAACATTCTCACGCATCAGATTCCCGGAGCCCGGGCACAGAGCTTCTTCTCGAAGTTCCCCGCTCCCCCACCCGCCCCGGGACTTAGGACACGGTCGGCCAGGCCCCGCCCCGAGTTGCGGCCGGCCAGGAGGCCTGGGCAGGGCCTGAGAACCTGCATTCCTGCTGAGCGCCGGGGGGTGCTGGTGCTGCCCGCCTGAGCAGCACTGACGCAGGCTGTGGTGTCCGTGTGCAGAAGGCCCACTGCTTCCCCTGGCCTCAGTTCCCTCGTCTGTAGAATGAGATGGTCCAGCTGGGTGATTTCTGCGATGGTAACGGCCTCGGTGGCACCAACCATGAGCTGGACCTTTCTTTTATTATTATTATTTTTTTAGTCAATGTCTCAGTCTGTCGCCCAGGCTGGAGTGCAGTGGCCGCTCCCAGCCACCGCAGCCTCAACCCGCTGGGCTCCGGCGATCCTTCCGCCTCAGCCTTCCAAGTAGCTGGAACCACAGGCGCGCGCCACCATGCCCCGCTCATTTTTTTGATTTATCGTAGAGATGAGGTCTCGCCAAGTTGCCCAGGCGGGTCTTGAACCCACGGGCTCAGGCAATCCACTCACCTCAGCCTCCCAAAGTGCTGGGATGACAGGCTGAGCCACCGAGCCCGGCCTAGCTGGGCCTTCCTTAACCGCTGGGTCTTTCCATCCACGGGGTGGGCAAGGCCACACAGGTGAGGGCGCAGAAGCCTGGAGAGGTTCAGGGACTCGCCAAGGTCACACAGCCCAGAGGGGGCAGGCGTGGGGTGGGGCTGGCAGACAGGGGTTCCAGCTTCCAGTTTAGGATTCTGTGGAGATGAGGTGCTTCCAGCCGGGGCGGGGTTCTTCCCGAGACCCCTCCTACCCCATGTATGGGGGTGGGGTGGCTCTCGAGCCTGGAGGTACGGCAGGGATGCCACCACCGACGTCTCCTTCTCTTCCAGCCTCATGTACTGGACGGACTGGGGGGAGAGCCCCAAGATCGAGTGCGCCCACCTGGACGGGCAGGAGCGGCGCGTGCTGGTGAATGTGTCCCTTGGGTGGCCCAATGGGCTGGCCCTGGACCTGCAGGACGGCAAGCTCTACTGGGGGGACGCCAAGACGGACAAGATCGAGGTGAGTCGGCCGTGGGCGGCTCAGGTGACGGAGAGGCCAGCAACCCGGGGGTGCCCCGTGGGCTGGCACTGCCCGGCTGTCCCCGGGCCCTGCGTCCCATGCAGAGAGGCCAGGTCTGGCTGCCCCCAGCATGACATGCTCAGCAGGTGGGCATCGGTGGGGTCTGTGCTCTGCTGTCTGGCCAAGCAGAATCCTGGGGAGTGCACAGATCATGGCTCACCACAGCCTCGACCTGCTGGGCTCGAGCGATCCTCCCGCCTCAGCCTCCTGAGTAGCTGGGATTACAGGTGCTTGCTACCATGCCCAGCTACTTTTGTTTTTTTTTTTTTTTTTTTGAGTTGAAGTCTCATTCTGCCACCCAGGAGTGCAGTGGCACACTCACGGCCACTCCAGCGTCGACCTGCTGGGCTCTGGCAATCCTTCTGCCTCAGTCTTCCAAGTAGCTGGAACTACAGACATGCACCACCATGCCTGGCTCATTTTTTTTTTTTTAATTTATTGTAGAGATAAGGCCTCACCAAGTTACCCAGGCTGGTCTCAAACCTTTGGGCTCAGGCAATCCCCTCAATTCAGCCCCTCAAAGTGCTGGGATTGCAGGCTTGATCTACCACACCCGGCCTCCCAGCTAATTTTTTTATTCATAGAGATAAAGTATCACTGTGTTGCCCAGGCTGGTCTCAAATTCCTGGCCTCAAGTGATCCTCCCACCTTGGCCTCCCCAAGTGCCAGAATTACAGGTGTGAGCCACCATGCCTGGTCTTCAAAAAACCATTTTCTTTTTTTTGTTGTTGTTTTTTTTTTTGTTGTTTGTTTTTTGAGTTGGAGTCTCACTCTGTCGCCCAGACTGGAGTGCAGTGGCCGCTCCCGGCCACCGCAGCCTCGACCTGCTGGGCTCCGGCGATCCTTCCGCCTCAGCCTTCCGAGTAGCTGGAATTACAGGCATGCGCTACCACGCCTGATTTTTTTTGATTTATTGTAGAGATAAGGTCTCGCCAAGTTGCCCAGGCGGGTCTCGAACCCGCGGGCTCAGGCAATCCACTCACCTCAGCCTCCCAAAGGCGCGGGATTACAGGCTGAGCCACCGAGCCCGGCTAAAAAAACCATTTTCAAGTGAACAATTTGGTGGTACTTAGTACATTCTCCATGTTGTGCAGCTATCACTTTTGCTGTCTGTGTCTAGACTACTTCCAGCACCCGGGAAGGAAACTCCATGCCCCCTAGCAGTTAGTCCCGGCCTCTGGCAGCCGCTGGCCCGCGTTCTGTCTCTGTGGAGTTACCTATCCTGGCCTTTCCGTGTGGGTGAAATCACAGTGTGTGCCCTCGTGCCTGGCCGCCTTCTGTCTTCAAGGCTTACCCATGTCATCTCCCATTTCAAAACTTCGTTCCTTTTTGTGGCTGGGTGGGACCCCACAGTGTGGATCGAGCACACGTGGTCATCCATACTTCAGTTGAGAAACAATGGCTTCCACCTCTTGTCCGTTATGAATAACACTAATGTGAACATTTGCGTACAAGTTGTTTTTGTTTTTGAATCGGGTGCCCAGCAGGTTGACGCTGGGGTGGCCGTGATCTTTCCACGGCCACCCCTGTCTGCTGGCCCCACCCTGTGCCTGTCCCCTCTGGACTGTGTGATCTTGGGCGAGTCCCTGAACTTCTCTGGGCTTCTGTGCCCTAACCTGTGTGGCCTGCCTACCCCGTGGATGAAAGGCCCAGCTAGGCCGGGCTCGGTGGCTCAGCCTGTCATCCCAGTACTTTGGGAGGCCGAGGTGAGTGGATCGTCTGAGCCCGTGGGTTTGAGACCCACCTGGGTAACTTTTGAATCGGGGTCTTACTCTTTTGCCGAGGCTGGAGTGCAGTGGCGCAATCACGGTTCACCACAGCCTTGACCTCCTGTGCTCAGGAGATCCTCCCGCCTCAGCCTCCCAAGTCGCTGGGACTACAGGTGCGTGCCACCATGGCTGGCTAATTTTTTTTCATTTTTTGTAGAGACGAGGTCTTGCTATGTTGCCCAGGCTGATCTTGAATTTCTGATCTCAAGTAATCCTCCCACCTCGGCCTCCCAAAGTGTGGGGAGGACAGGCGTGAGCCACTGCGCCTGGCCAATTTTTCTACTTTCAGAATCAGCCCATACACGGTCAAAGCTTTGTAGACAGTGTTAGCCACTGTGGGAACAACTTCATCCGCTGTGGTCATGGGTAGGCAGGGACAGGGTTGGCGGCAGGAGGGACAGGGCTGGCACACCCTCGCCTTACAAACCGGACTAGCCAGAGATGCCCTCTGCGTGTGGTGAGACAGGAAAGCGAGGTCGGAGATGGGATAGCAGAGGGGGAAGGGCTCTGAGCCTGCCGAGGAGCAGGGCCTGATGGATGAGCCGGGAAGGTGCCCTGACAGCGCGTCCCTGTCACCTCCCGTTGGAAGTTCATCACTGGGAGGCCTCACACAAGACACAGCAGGACAAGAGGCCTCTGCAGGGTGTCCTTGATGGTGGGACTTGGGGAGTGTGGGACACCGACCGCAGGCCACGTCTCCGTGATGTGCTCGGATAAACCGTTTCCAAGAGGGATACATTGTACACGGGTTCTCAAACCCCACAATCGGGGGTCCCTTTGCTTCCCTGCAGTGGCCCTGGTGGCACACGCTTTGGGACTGCCCAGAGCTGGCTGAGCTGCGGGGTTCCTGCCTGACGCTCCTCCCTCCCTGGGAAGCCACTGATGGGCCACCGAGGTGCTTGTTCTGTGTTTTTTTTTTGTTTGTTTTTTGAGTTGGAGTCTCACTCCATTGCCCAGGCTGGAGTGCAGGGGCATCCTCATGGCCACCCCAGTGTCAGCCTGCTGGGCTCCAGCGAACTTTTCCCCTCAGCCTTCCAAGGAACTGGAACTACAGGCACATGGCGCCACACCTAGCTAATTTTTTATTTATTGTAGAGACGAGGTCCTGCCAAGTTGCCCGGGCTGGTCTCGAACCTGCAGACTCAGGCAGTCCTCTCACCTCGGCCTCCCAAGGCACTGGAATGACAGGCTGAGCCACCACGCCCGGCCTTGTTCTGTGTTTTATGCTGGAACTCGGTGCGACTCTTTCCTCCTGAGCATGGGAACCTCTCCCAGGCGTGTCCGTGGGTGCCTGCGAGTCATGCCCTCTCAGGGTTCAGCCCAAAGCCTGGGATCACGCCCTCGTGGCATTTTTCCGGGGGGAATGCCAGGGTCTGGCTGAGCTTCTGAAGTGTTCCTGGTGTGGACTCCTCCCACCGAGGGTCTCAGGCCTGCTTTGGGCTCCATCAGCAACACCTACCGAGCGTATCGCGTGCACCAGCTGGGTTCCAGCCTCTGGGGCCCAGCACACAGTCCTCTGAAGGGGCCCCTTAGCCACCTGCCACGTGGACCTTCGGATCAGGCTGCTGGCCCAGGTGCAGCTGAGGCATGAGGATCTGCCTCTCTGAGGGTGTGATCAGACTCCAGGTGGGACAGGTGGTCGGGGAAAGTGAAACGGGGTCAGGAAAGAAACCAGCCATGCTTGGCACGGCGGGGGCATTTCCAGGGTGTTGTGTCGGGGGTGTGGAGATGGCCGAGCTGGAAGTTGAGGACTGGTGCCAGCCTTGTGGGATCTTGCCCCCTGTCTTTGGGGATAGATAGGACAGTGTCCCACATGTCAGCGGGCTTGGCTTGGCGCTGGGCAGAGGGCGCTTTCTTTTTCTTGAGCCAGAGTCTCTGTCTCCCAGGCTGGGGTGCAGTGGCACACTCATGGCCACTGCAGCCTCGACCTGCTGGGCTCAGGCGATCCTTCCATCTCAACCTTTCAAGTAGATGGAACTACAGGCACACGCCACCACGCCTAGCTAATTTTTGATTTATTGCAGAGATGAAGGCTTGCCAACTTGCCGTGGCTGATCTCGAACCCGTGGGCTCGGGCAATCCTCAAAGTGCTGGGATGACAGGCATGAGCCACTGTGTCTGGCTGAAGGGCACTTTCTAGGGGGCAGCCCGGCTCTGCTTTTGAAGGGGCGATCAGGCTCCCTGTGTCCTGAGCCCAGTCCCCCAGGAGGACGTGGCGGGCCACTGTGGCCAGTCCCTCACCGAGTTGGGAGAAGAGGAAAGGTCAGGAAACACCAAGCTGATGACATGGGGTTTCTTCTAGATGCCCCTGCGGCCCTTGGATGAGATTAGCAGAGTGGAGACGGTGGGCGGGTCCGCATGGCCCCTCTTGGGGCATCTCCCCCTGGCCGCGTCGGTGACAGCTGTCATGGAAATCAACGTCCAGCCCTCTGCGGCAGCCTGGTGGACGCACACGGGGTGGCAACCCTGTCCTATGACTGGCCAGTCGCCACCGTCAGTGACATCTGGGAGTAGCAGGGCCTCCTGGTGTGGGCGTGAGCCAAGGGCACTCCCTGCCAGTGCGCTCAAGGGCAGCCCCGAGCTGCCCTCCACCTGCCAGGCCTGCTTGGCTGGTGCTGACACCTGTGGGTTGGAACTGCATCCCGGTGCCACCTACCTCCCCTCTGCATCCCAGAGCTGGAATCCCAGCGTCGTGCCCAGGATTCCTGGCCCCTGGGGCTAGAGCTTCCAGCCCGTGGGCGCCTGTAGCCGAACTCAGCCCAGACGCGCCGACCTATCCCCCCTGTTCCCACCTCCCCGTCCACCTGGGCGCCAAACCCGGCTGTGACCTTCCCTTTCCGACCTGCCACAGCTCTTACGTGGTGTGCCACGAATGCGTCTCTCTTGGTGAAGTGACTGGGATCCGCTGTGTCCCTAAGGGGTCTCCGACTGCGGTCACTCAGACACTGCCTCCCTCCCCCCAGCCTCCCTTCTCGGCCTCCACAGCCCAACTGTCTCCTGAGCCCCAGCCCATGTGCCTGCTGCCCTCGGCCAACCTCCCTGGAGGCCTGGGGTCCCTCCAGCTGTGCGCCATGGTCTCACCCCTTCCACCCACTAGGCCACCTGGGGTGGCCTTCTTTCCAAGGTAGTTCCTGCCTGGAGGCCAGGAACTGTGGCGCCTGCACACCCATCCAGGGCTTGTGTGCCTCCTTGGCCGTGGAACTGTCATTATTGTTGTCATCATTTACTTTCTTTTGGAATAGGGATGAGGTCTTGCTATGTTGTCCAGGGTGGTTTTGAACTCCTGTCCTCAAGCGATCCTCCAGCCTCAGCCTCCAAGATGCTAGGATTACAGCCGTGAGTCGCCGTGCCCAGCCTGTCATTGTCATTTGACCGGCCTTGTCTCCCAAAGCAGACGTGACTCTCTGAGGGCCAGCCCGAGTCGGGGGTCTCTGTGCTGACCTCTAGCAGGGGCTGGGGACATGTACCAGGTCTGGGTCAGGAGTGACATCCCTGTACCTTTGTGTTGTCACCTGTACTCCCAGTGGTCCTCACTTGCCCTCCAGCCATCTGTCCCCTGCCCTGATATTTACCAGCTAGAGGTGACATCAGCAGAGACCAAATAAACAGATACTACAGGGATGGCGGAGGCCTGGCCGGCTGTGCTATGCTCCATGGCCCTGGGGGATAGGTTAGTCCACCAGGCTCCTGGCATCCGGACCATGTGCGTGTGTGTTGAACAGCTTTTTAAAAATTGAATTAAATTTATTTATTTATTTTTGAGTTGGAGTCTCACTCTGTCGCCCAGGCTGGAGTACAGTGGCATGCTCCTGGCCAACCCCAGCCTTGACCTGCGGGGCACCGGCGATCCTTCTGCCTCAGCCTTCCAAGTAGCCAGAACTACAGGCGTGCGCTACCATGCCCGGCTAGTTTTTGATTTATTGTAGAGATGAGGTCTCGCCAAGTTGTCCAGGTTGGTCTCGAACCCGCGGGCTCAGGCAATCCCCTTGCCTCTGTCTCCCAAAGTGCTGGAATGACAGGCTGAGCCACTGAGCCCGGACTCTTTTTTATTTTTTTAATCCTATTTTTGAGTCAGGGTCTCACTGTCACCCAGGCTGGAGTGCAGTGACACAATCACAGCTCACCGTAGCCTCAACCTCCTGGACTCATGTAATCCTCCTGCCTCAGCCTCCCGAGTAGCTGGGACTTCAGCCGCACACCACCATGCCCAGCTAGTTTTCTTATTTTTTGTAATGATAAGATCTCATTATGTTTCTTAGTCTGGTCTCGAACTCCTGGGCTCAAGTGATCCTCCCACCTCGGCCTCCCAAAGTGCTGGGATGACAGGTGTGAGCCACCACACCTGACCTAAGATCTTTTTTTATTGCGTGAAACAAAATGACTGTAACCGTTGACTTTGTGGCTTTGTGTTGGACAGAAAGGGATCATTACACCCTCAAACAGCAGAGCTCTTTGCCCTTTAGATGTGAGCTCTCAGGGTGGGTCCTGAGTTCTTATCTAGTTGCACAAACCAGGTCAGCGGGAACATAGGATTTATTATGAGGAGGCTTCACGTCAGGTGACTTTCTTGGGGTTGCCATCTGCGGCTGACCTGCAGACCCCATATAGCGGGCCGTGCCCCTCGGAGCATGGCTGCAGGTGGGCTTCTGTGGGTCTCCCTGTCCTGCCTTCCAGAAGAGGACAGAGGCCACAGCTCAGAGAGAGCAGAGCTGGAGACCCTTATTGTCCCCAGACATAGCCTCTGGGGTCTGGTTTCCTTTCCTGAAAAACAAGGGCACAGGAATGCCCAGCACCGGGGTTGAAAACTCTGGCTCATGGGCTGCATCCGGACCACCACCTGTTTCTGTGTCACTCTCAAGCTAAGAGTGACTTTTACATTTTTTAATTCCTTGAAAAAAATCAAAGGAGGAATATTTCATGACCCGTCAATATTATATGGAATTTGGGCTGGGTGCGGTGACTCATGCCTATAATCCCAGCACTTTGGGAGGCCAAGACGGGAGGATGGCTTGAGCCCAGGAGTTCGAAAACAGCCTGAGCAACACAACAAGATCTTTTCACTACAAAAAAAAAAAAAGGACAATTAAAAAAGTAGCTGGGCTGGGCTCAGTGGCTCAGTCTGTAATCCTGTGCCTTTGGGAGGCTGAGGTGAGTGAATTGCCTGAGCCC